GGACGTGTTCTAGAATTTGCATTTAAGTTGTGTTGGGAATTTTATGAAGAAAATTAAGTGAAAAGTGATCATGAATTCTATAGCTGCTGTGGTGCTGTAGGATCAGCACTGGACGGTGAACCATAAGGTCCTCGGTTCAAGAGTACCAGCTGCTCCTCTGAAACTCTGTACAGGGTCACTATGAGTTGTAACACTTGACAGCACTTAACAACAACAACAATTATTTCATTATTCCTCAAGCACAGTTCTAACCTGCAAAAATGTCACCTGAACTTCTCAGGTCTGTTGAGATTAAATTAGCACAAGTGCATCATGTTTAAATTTAATTCACTGGCCATTCTCCCTCCCCCTCAAGAAAGGTTTATTCTGGAACCATCACAGGACAGTCTCTGGCAGACTTCCTGCTAGGATTTTTACTACTCCTTTCTTAAAATTAAACTATTTCAGTTCTTCAGACTCTGACCATAAACACTTCATATTTTATTATACTTAGAAGATTTCATTTTTATGTCTAGCTGAATCTAAAGATTTGATTGGACAGGCAAATGGTAGAATAGAGTGGGAACAGTAAGACCAGCCTGGGTCCATGACCTAAGACACTGCCCACAGATCCTTTAGGAGGTAACATAGATGCAGTTACTGGTAGAGACACCTCAGGACACAGCCCAGAGAGTCCAGTGCAGTGAGGCAAACTGGCTGAAGAGGATCCAGGATGAAGTGCAAAATGTCCTGGCAAGCAGAGGCCAACAATAAATAACTCAAAAAAACAGGAAATATTCACTTTTACATAGCCAGACTCTTGGAAGTAACTCAATGCACATTGAGCTACCCTAGGGGCCTTCTCAAAATTCTATTTCCTTTGAATTTCCCTATTCACCATCCCTATGAAATTAGCAAACCAAAGTAACTCTTCATCACACATTAGCTGAATTTTGAAGTTACTAAGAAAATGTAAAATAGGATCAGCATAAAAATAATACTAATATCCAGAGACCATGTCATTTCTCTAAGCATTGCAGTTGTTGTAGAGGAACAACTATTTTACAATTCTGCGAATAATGTTTCACATACAATTCCATTCCCTTCCTGCTCACATAGGTTCACCAGCACTTGAAACAAAAGGAAATCTACATGTTATTTTTCTAGTCCTTCTACCCAGTAACTTCTTTGTTCAAAAGGGGATTAGGACATCAGTTAAAAACTTTCACAGGCTAACCATATGAAATTTTGGGATGATTTTGTTTGGCTCCTCTATGTTGATTTATTTATTTATTTGTAATTCTGATAGCCACCACTTCCTACCACAAATAAAAGAAATATTGAAATATAGTAGCAAGCATCATTGGAAGCTTCATTTTTTTTTAAGATGTTTGAATTACAATCAATAGAATGTTAGGGAAAAAAAAAAAGGAATTCTAGAGGTGGAAGTTTAACCTTTACATAACAAATGTAAGTAATGCCAAAATTTAATTGAAAACTTACTCTGTGCCAAGGACTCTATCTACTGCTTTCCAGATAATTCCTCACTTAATCTTTTTAACAATTTGATGAGAAAGATACTATTATCCCAGTATTTGTTGTTGTTATTGTTAAGTGTTGCTGAGTCAGTTCTGATTCATAATGCCTCTCTATAGGGTTATAGGGTTTCCAAGGAGCAGCTGGTAGGTTTGAACTGCTGACCTTGTGGTTCACAGTCCAGTGCTGATCCTACAGCACCACACCAGGAGTCCATTCCAGTGTTAGGAATAAGGAAACTGTGTACAATGTCACGCTCTAAGTGGCAAAATTGGGACCTTTATCCAGGAACTCTGATAGTCTTTTTTATACATTAAGTGATTCTGGCTCTCTCATACCATCACATAATGAAAGAAAGTAATACTGCCTTTATTGCTGAATGTTATGGCTAAGCTGTATACAGTATGCAATTTTTCATTCAGAAATATGTGCAAAGCATTCATGATACAATTCAAAGACTGAACTTCCTATTATTTAATTGTTTCTATGACAAACCCTATACAGAGTCACTATGGGTCAGAACTGACTTGACAGCACTTAACAACAACAACAACATCACTATTTAAGATGATGGATGCCACCTAATACCTGACAAGTCTTCAACTTCAAATAGGTAATCTTTATAAAAAGAAAACATAAAAGATAAACACATCTGGTGCCAGAATTTTGGCATTTCCAAGAGTATGTATTTAGTGATTGGGCCACAAATCACTACCTACACAGTCTGTGTTGCAGAACAGCTGCTGAGGGTTATTTTTCCCCTTTCAGCAATTTACACCTGTGGCCTGTGGGCCCAACACACAGCTAGATGAACTGGACTCCATTTGAACCACCTAGTGTATCATTCTTCTCTTGGTGTCCACCTGTGTTTACAAATTATTATGTTTGGAAAAAAATGGCTCAGGGGACTGATTTTTAGTGTTAGTTGCACATTTGCCATTGGATTGTGCAGTTTTGTGTTTGTTGAGTCTGTTGGAAATAGAAACTTCATTTTCTTGAACATACACCTGAAAAGTACAACTTATTGTTAAAAACTCATTAGAATCTCCATGTTCATGCAGACTCTGAATTGCAATCTCTTCTCCCCTTTGGGCTATCAATGCCTGTTTATCCAAATTGAAATTTCAAAATAAGTGGTCCTAGTCTTTGAAATGTTCAAAGTTAAAAAGTAAAAACACTGAGGTTGAATGGTCCAGTTTCACTGGAGTGCACTCCAGACTAATGTGAGTAGTTTGAAGAACACACCCACCAACCCACCCCCATCTTCTATTGCAGTTCTACTCTCTCATACATCTACTTTATGATGTGGACTCCCTGAGAAGTTCTAGCATTTCAATTCTTTGTGCATCTAGAATCAGGTCAAAACTGCCACACTTCTCATAATTCCAGAGTCAAAACTGTCATAATCTGCTACTAGAATTTTTTGAATGTCCTCAAGCTGTCAAAATGTTTGCTATTTCTATCAAAATATGCCAAACTTATTTGGGACACTGGGCATAAACAGCACTGAAATCATTCAGACAAATGGGATTGGATGAATAGCAAATAAATACATGAAGATTAAAATGAAAAAGTGTTGGACAGTACATGTTTGCTACTAAATAGAGTAGATCATATTATTTTAAAAAGTTGATGTTACTGAGACATGAATTTATCACTGCAATAGATTCTAGTTTGTTATACAACACTGGGAATAGCAGTAGCTAACAACTCTTTTTTAGAATGCTAAACTACAAGCCAGTGGAATTATCATATTGCAGCATGTTTTATTAATTTTCCAAGTGTGTTACAAAATATTATATGTCTCTTTCAAATCAGTGCTGATATTCCCAAGCACCACCATAGTAGTTTCTGAAGTCCTTCAAGCGCACTTCTTCCAACACCCATGTGAGACCAAAAATCATTTGATGTTTCCCATTCATCATGCATAGCTGCAGAATTCCAAGTTCATTACCTAAGATCGACGAAAGGCTAGTGTTCGTAGTTACCTTCCTAAGGTTTTAATGTTTTTTAATAGAATTAAAAAGAAAACCTCTAATTTTGTTTTTATTGACATTGCTCCAATATTTATAAAAAAGAGGGGGCGACTGGTCCCTCACATAGGATCTTGAGATAATGAAGGACAGAAATCAGTTTTGGAAAGGGTGTGCCTCTGAGGGTGGGCTGGGAGGGAATTTTTACAAGCTGAATATGCATATTTACCATGGGTTCTACTGCCTATGAAGAGAGACCTGGTGATCTACTTTCAAAAGTTCAGCCAACAAAAACCTATAGATCACAACCATCTGATCCATGGTAAGATTTGCAACCAACCAAACATGGGGATGGTGCAATAGCTGGGTTCCTATGACGTAATAGCCAACTCCACTGTACTAACAACCCTACTTTAGAAAGTTGCTTTAGAGATGCACTTTCCCCACACACAAACATAACTTTAGGTTTCCCCAAAATATGTTGATTGCTAAGAAAAATACCGATGAAGAATAAATTCATACTCCATATTAGTAATGATGGAGTTCTGGTGTGGTGCTGCAGGATAAGCACTGAACTGCTAACTGCAAGATCAATGTTTCAAACCCACCAGTCACTCCTTGGAAACCCTATGAATCAGAATTGACTATGAATCACAATTGTTGTTGTTGTTGCTAAGTGCCATTGAGTCAGTTCTGACCCATAAGGACCCTGTATAGCGTTTCTGAGGAGCAGCTGGTGAGCTTGATAAGGTCAACTGACCTTACATACAGAACTTGGCATTAACCCACAGCACCACACAAGGACTCCCAGGACTCAGTGAGAGTAGTCACTATGAATCAAAATCTCAACTCGATGGTATTTAACAGCAACAATACTAGGAGCTCTGGTAGCGTAGTGGTTACGAATCGGGCTGCGAACCTTAAGGCCAGCAGTTCGAAACTACCAGCCGCTTCAGGGGAGAAAGATGAGGCGTTCTGCTCCCGTAAAGATTTACAGCCTCGGAAACCCTGTACAGGGTCGCTATGGGTCGGAACCGACTCAATGGTACTTAACAACAACAACAACAATACTAGTGATACTCAAGAGCTGCAATTTCAAATTGAATACTGCAATTTGGTCCCATGTACTGCGGAATAAAGTTACCATGCACATGGCTACATCCAGGCCTGAACTTTGCTTTTTAATTCCGTTTTAGTTATTAAAACCAAAACCAAACCCACTGTTATAGAGTTGAATGTGACTCATAACCACTCTATAGAGGATTTCAGAGACTATAAATCTTTAAGGGAGCAAACAGCTTCATCCTTCAATGATCCTCTGAGCGGCTGTGAGTTTGAGCCACCAATCTTTCAGTTAGCAGTCCAGTGTTTATCCCATAGTGTCACTAGGTCTCCTTTGTTTTAACCATTATACATGCAATTAAACAAAACAAACAAACTTAAAGTCTCTCTCCGTTTCTCCTACTCTTGTTTCATAAACAGCTCTCTCTGGTAAATAATATTAGCACTTACCTCAAAAGCACTCTGTATTTTGACAAAGTCTTCCACACTGAGCTGGTTTTCAAGCAAGGCCCATCCATAGTCTCCGTCCTCAGTGGCACCTTCTGCTCTCTGAAGATTGTTTAGTCCAGGTCGTGACCCCAAAGTTAACTCAGATGTTGCATTCTGGTAACTCATGATCATTTCACCACCTCTCAGCAGCCTTCAGCTATTTCTAAGTGGGTCTTTTTTTTTTCCCCTTCTACAGGTACCTTTGAAAGAAACACAACTCTAAACCATAGAATTGCAAAATGGAAGTGCAAACATTTCAAGGCATACAATTAGGAGGCAAAATATTCAAATCAAGGAGAAAATAAAAGCCCTCATCAACCCCCCACTCAATAATTTCACAGTTTACTTTCAAAATCCAGTAAAATAGTTTAAAGACAACTCCCTGTTTTAAGTTCTGTTTAACCTGGCTTGATTGAAAATGGGTAAAGCTTCCCCCATGTTTACAGTAACTGACACAGAAGGCAATTTCTAATCCTCATTTTAAAAGCATTAGAAAATCAACTTCCCAAACTGTCTTTGGTTAACCTTGTTTTCATTAACATGAGGTGGTTTTAAACTCCATTATCATGAGATGAAGCAGCTGCAAGACTTTCCTCCCAACAGAGTGCTCTCCCCCGAAGGCCACCTTCCCAGCAGTGTGGAGTGTTTGTTTGCTTGATTCTTGTGCGTTTGTATGTTTCCTGGCAACAAAACTAGCCCAACTACAACTTTTCCTTCTCCTTCCTTTCCCCAGCTGAAAGACTGAAGTTTGAATATATAATGTAAAGGTTTAGGTTGGCTTCTTGTGTTTGTTTGTTTTATTTCAAAGGACAATTCAGTCCATTTATTATGTATTAAGCGGCATCACTGTTTTATTTAAAGAAAGCTTTTATACATATATTTTCTATGAATCATGCTATGAATTACAAAATAACTATCCAGAGGAAATAAGTGGCATTGTGGAATTTTATGTTTTCCACACAAAAATATATTTTATTCTTGTTTAATAAGGATGTCTTTGTGATATTCTTCTCTCTTCTGTATATATAATGAGGATGGTTTGTTCAGTTGTTGTTCTTTCTCAGTAATTGAAGACTATACAGTCTTCATTTCACCACCTCTCAGCAGCCTTCAGCTATTTCTAAGTGGGTCTTCCCCCCCCCCCCCTTCTACAGGTACCTTTGAAAGAAACACAACTCTAAACCATAGAATTGCAAAATGGAAGTGCAAACATTTCAAGGCATACAATTAGGAGGCAAAATATTCAAATCAAGGAGTTATGTTACTGTTAGTTGCTGTCTTTGAGTCCACTGTAACTCATGGTGACCCCCTGTGGGCATGGTAGAACTGCTCTGTTGTTGTTATGTGCCGTCGAGTCGGTTCTGACCCATAGCGACCCTGTACAGGGTTTCCGAGGGTGTAAATCTTTACGGGAGTAGAAAGCCTCATCTTTCTCCCGCGGAGCAGCTGGTAGTTTCGAACCGCTGACCTTAAGGTTCGCAGCCCGATTCGTAACCACTACGCTACCAGAACTGCTCTACAGGGTTTTAAAAACTGTGCCTTTTAAACACAGATCACTAAACTTGTCATCTGAGGCACTTCTGGGTGGCTTCGAGCTGCTGGAAATGATTCAATAAAGTTTTCAGCCTATTAAGAGCATGGGATGAAATGTAGTATGATATTAATACGATAAACCTTATAAGAAAATTACAGTGTCATCACGGATTCCACTAATAATAATCATCAAAAGAAGATAGAGAAAGTTAAAAAGTAATTGAGTGTTTTTCATGTACCAGGGACTATACTAAGCACTTTACAGTCCTGGTGTGGCACTGTAGGATGAGCACAGGACTGCTAACCAAAATGTCAGCAGTTCAAATCTACTTGTCACTCCTTGGAAACCCTATATAGGATGACTCTGAGTCAGAACTGACTCAACAGCGTCTAACAGCAACAATCTTGTTTAAACTTCACAACAACTCTATGAGACAGATGCTAAAACTATCGCCATTTTACAAAAAGACAAAGAAAATGCCAAAAAACGACATCATTAGTTAGAGGTGGAATACAGTAGTTGCTATGGAGTCCTGGTGTGGCACTGTGGGCTAACGCGTCATACTGTAACGTTGTTTAAACCACAAGGTCGGTGGTTCAAACTTACCAGCCGCTCCTTGGAAACCCTATACAGAGTCGCTATGGGTCAGAATCAACTGCACTTAACAACAACAACAGTAGCTGCTAGGCTTCAGAGCCAGCACTAGAGCCATTCTCTCAGCCTTATGTTTATTCCTCTAAACTGAAAAGTTGGCACTACACAATCTCTAAGGTCTTCTCCAGCTCCAACATTTTATGAGCTGAGGTTCACAAGAAGCATGATAGTATGCACTGTGTTCCCTACAAAAGAAAGAAGGATCCCACAAGTAAAGAATAAAATAAAATTTCATTCATGCATCTATCCACTCATACATCTGTCCACACATTCTTTGTTCCAAATGCCATTTATTAAAAACCTGGCGAGTATTGAATTGTATCTAGTGCCTACTGTTGAAAGGTTTACAATCTAGTAGAAGTAACAACTGGGACCAACTGCCACATCCAACAACCAGCTATACTCCGTAACCTGCACGGAGAGGTTAAACCCAAGTAGGGTTGATGGGAGATTAGAAATAAAAGAAAGACACAAGACACACGTGAAATAAGAAAAGTTGGACCAGGTGGGATGTAGCACTCTGATGGAGATATTGTAGCACAAACCAAGGCAGCAAGTTTATTATATACACAGCTCAAGGGGAAGTGCTAGGGGCAGGGAGAATAACATCTGGTGTTACTGATGCATGCAGTAAGCGGGACTTTATCAGAAGAATGTAGTTGCTAGGGAAATAGAGATAGGGCAGCTAGATGTTTTTGCAGACTTGAACTGAAGGTCATACAAGGAAAAAACTTTGCAAGTTCCCTGCCCCCGAGGCAGCCCTGCAACTTCCTCAGTGGGGCAAGTTGACCTGGGAGTAGCCCGATTTTCTGGACCACAACTATTCAGTTGCACTCCTTCAGTTAAACTACCCCCAAGTCTGAGACCTTCAGCTCAAATCGCTCCCAACAAGTAACAATCTGTTTAGATCACTGCCAAAAAGGCACTGAGGCATTGGGTGGTCTCCTCCAACTTCACAAGGGGGAAAAGGAGACTCACCGTACTCTGAGGAGATAAGCATGTTCCTTGATGAAACTTCTAATCCAATGGAAGCTTTGAGTATCTGATTCCATAATCAAAGTCCAGTTCATGAAATTGCACTAATTTATACCGGCTCACAATATCAAACATATTTTGCTTCATTCCATCAGGCTTTTGTCAATTCTTCCCCATTCAAGCTGGGTCAAATGGGTTCCACCTGTAAGCATGGGAGTTCACACACACCTCCCTGTCCTTAAACCACTTGGCCTCTTCTCTCTCCCTCAGCCCTAGCCCTGTGGGTTTAATCAGTACCCATAGGCTCAGGAGTTCACACAGCTTTTCAAATTTCAGACTAGTCAGCCCTTCCTCTTGTTTTTTGTCTCTTGTCTTTGTAGACCAGGTCACTGCGTGCCAATGGAACATGTGCAAACTCTTTATTGTTGCCTTTCCCCCAGTTTCACTCAACAAGTGGACTCAGGAATGTCTGCTTACCAGTTTCTTTTACCTTTTGTTCCTACTATGATGGGCACAGACTTTTTCTGTCTTGATGCCTCCAACATTAAATTTCTTGCTCAAAATTCAAAAGCAAAACAGTCTTTTTCTTTTTTCCCTTCAGGTCTTTTTTCCAAAACTACATTTGTTCTCTCAGCACTTCAAAGTAGGGGTAAGTATGTCTTTTCAAGTGCAAATTTTCTAACTATAAAGGTCCTGGGCTTAGGTTTTCTACCAAAGGCTCCATCTCTCAAACTACTGACTCAAAAATAAAAACCTGTTCCTTCCAGACAAATGCAAACTCCACTTTTAGCAAATACAATCAAACATAGCCAGAAAGCAGGTCTACAAGCAGTCTTTAATCATAATTCTCAATATTCATTTCAATCACACATGTATATCTATTTTATAATACTAGGTAGAAAAAAACTATATTCATAGTACAGTCAGATAAACAACAAAATCCTTTCTAAAAAGACATTCAAGTTCAAAATTCCCTTCTCTAACTGTGGAATATCTCTCCATTTATATGCAGATGGCCTTGGGCCTCTGGCAGAGTGGAAACAATAAACCTTGGCCCCCAATCAGCCATCTTATTTAACCACTTGATTGTGCCCCAGGCCACTGCAGAATAAATTTTCTCCCCAAAACTAAGGCATAGCATCTTTAACATCCCTTTCAGCCATTATGTTGTTGTTGTTGTTAGGTGCCATCCAGTCAACATCCGTTCATAGAGACCCTATGCACAACAGAATGAAGCACTGCCTGGTTCCACTCAACCTCACAAACATTGCTGCCATCACTGTGATTTCCTTCCCCAGGAACTGGTCCCTCCTGATAATATATCTGAAGTATGCTCTGGTAGCATAGTGGTTACGAATTGGGCTGCGAACCTTAAGGTCAGTGGTTCGAAACTACCAGCCGCTCCGCAGGAGAAAGATGAGGCTTTCTACTCCCGTAAAGATTTACACCCTCGGAAACCCTGTTCAGGGTCGCTATGGGTTGGAACCGACTCAACGGCACTTAACAACAACAACGAGAGAAGTCTGGCCCTCCTGGCTTCCAAGAAGTGGTTGTACTTCTTGCAACACAAATTTATTTGTTCCTTTGTCAGTCCATGATACTTTTAATATTCTCCTCTAACACCATAACTCAAATGCTTCAATTCTTCTATGGTCTTCCTTAGTCACTGTCCAAATTTCACATGTGTATGAGGTTATTGACAATACCATGGCTTGGGTCAGGTGTAGCTTAGTTCCCACACTGATGTCTTTGCTCTTCAACATTTTAAAGACGTCTTGTGCAGTAAATGTACCTAATGCAATACGACATTTGATTTCTTGCCTGCTGCTTCCATAAATGTTGATTGTTGATCCAAGCAAAATGAAGTCTTTTTGACAACTTCAATCTTTTCTCTATTTATATGGATTTTGTTTGCTGGTCTAGTGGTGAGGATTTTTGTTTTCTTTCCATTGAGGTGCAAACC